GGTGTTGTTAATGATACGGCGACCACTTCTTTAAAAAAAAAAAGGAAAAGGAAAGGAGGGGAAAAAAAAAAAAAAAGAAAAAGAAAACCACCCCAAAAAACTTTTTTTTCCTCCTCTCGAACTTCCTGGGAGGGCCCGGGCAGGCCAATGGCAGCCGCCGCCACCGCCCCGGCCGCCCGCAGCCAATGGAGCCGCCGGGGCGGGCGAGGCCGCCGGTCCGCACGGAAAGGGGCGGTGGCTCCGGGAGATGGGGGACGGGACGGGACGGGGGCGATGCTGGGGATGAGCTGTGTCGCCTTTCCGAACCCTAGGCCCGGGCAAAGGTGAAGCCCCGGGAGGGACGGGCTGAGCCGCTGCTGCCCCGGGAAGGGACCGTCGGGAGCCCAGCCCTTACCAGACAGGGTTTGCTCTCAGGCTGGGATTTTTCGCAGACAGGGATTTTTAGCGGTGCGCGCAGTGGGGTCCTTGCCTTGGCTCCTGAAGCTGCTCGGTTTTATGCCCCGACCCCTCAAATGAACTCCTCTAGGCTCTGGGCAGAGGTGGTAGCAGGTCGTCTGGGGGCCGCTGGTGCTCCTGGAAAGGCAGTTGGCCTCGGGAAGGGGAATTGCTAGAGAGGATCCCAAAGGAAAGGGGGCAGGGGCTGTGTATCACAAAATGCCAGCCTCTACTGTGCAATCACACCGAGGCTATGCTGCTTGCTGCAAGGCAAAGAGAAGGTGCCTGGCCCAGAGCTTAGTGCTGAAGGAACCTGGCACAAGTGGGGTGATCTGGCCTAGTTGTACATGGGAAGTTCAGGGCTTTAGGCTCCTCTCTGGCCTGGGGCAGTGAAGGGAGGGAAGGGATGTCACCGGTTTCGAGTTTCAGAGGCCTTTGGCAGCCTCTTTCCTGGCTGCAGTTTGTCCTTGTATAAAGCACAAAGCAGAGGACAACCTGGCTGAGATGACTGATGCACACAGAGGGGGCAGAGGCAGAAACTCGGGTGCAGCTGCCAGCTACATGGGCTCCCGGGACACTTTCTGCAGCCCTCCAAAGCTGCTCTCATGCCATTTCTGGTATCCCAGGAACACCAACACAATTCACCATATCTTCTTTCATGCCACTAAAGCCCACTTCATCCCTGTAAAACCCTTGGTGCCATCATAGCACCAGGCAATAATAAAGTGAAGGAAAGTAGCTACACTGAGATTTTAGTCCCAAGCCTATTACTCACCCTTCTCTGGCTTTATAAACAGTCTCTGTGACTCAATGCCTTCCCCCTTCCCCTGTCTTCCCCAAGAAATGGGCAGAGGACGCAGTGAAGGGGAGTGTTAGTGACTATGGTCTCCAGGAGGTCATGGGAAGACAGCAACATGCTGAGCCTGCTCAGATGAAGTGCTGGAGACCTAGGTCCTGCCCACAGTGTTCCCCAAGGAAGGGCAGCTGCCCTTCCTCACCATTCCCAGGGGCTGGCCCCTACCTTGTGCTTCTTACTGGCATTCAGATGTGGCTGCGGGCTTCCTGAGGAGCTGGTGCTGCTTTGCAGTGGGAAGGTGCTTCCACCCAGCTGGGGCTGCAGGGAAAAGAGCAGGAGCTGAAGCCATCAGGGTCTAGTCCTCAACTCAGTTTCCCAGGTCTGAGCATCTGCTGCCTCCTGGCATGGCCCAGGGGAGAAAGCATCCTCCCTCTTCCCAGTGCCAGCCAGGCAGCTCAGCTCCCCTGGAGAAGCAGAGAATCCAAGGGAGTCAGGATGCACAGAATGCAACCCAGGGGACCCACGCACTCTGTGCTTGCCAGCTTTATGCCTGCCACGGTCCCTATTACCTCTGGCTCCTGCCCTACTCACATGGTAAATGAGAAGACTCTTGTTCCCCCAGTCACTTTCCAATGGCTTCTCTGGGTTGTTTGTGTTTCGACTGTGCTCAGGACCCTTCCAGTCCTCCTCCAGATGCTGTGCTGGGCTCTCAGGCCTTTTCCAGCTGTCATCTGGCCGTAGTCCTACATCCAGACCTCTAGCGGGGCTTTTCCAGTCTCTTTCCAGCTGGCGCATCACATCTGCATGGCACACGGTCATCTCTTGGCGCTTCCAGTCCTTCTCCCACACCTGTGCTTGGTGGACATCCCCCCGACCCTTCCAGTCCTGCTCCAGTGGCCGTGTTGGACTCGTGGGGCGCAGGGGCTTGCCTCGGCCTTTCCAGTCACTGCTGGTGCCCTTTCCAGGTTGGGAGGATGTCAGCTTTTCCCGCAGGCTTTGCCAGCCACATTCAGATGGCTTCCTGGGCCCTGAAACGTGCAGTGGCTCCCCTGGCTTCACCCGTTGTCTCTCTGCTCCCCGCACCAAGCTGGGAGGGGAGATCTCCTTTTGGCTTTTCCTTGTGCTCTCCATACATCTTGCAGGACTGAGGGACTGTGGGGGTGGCCCTGCCCAGCTCAGCCTGCTGTTATCTGAGACCTTCCCAACACCTGTGGGGTGCAGGGAGTCCCCTCGGCTCTTCTTCTCCAGTGTTTGCCGTGTACTCCCTGCCTGCCAAGTGGCTCGGCCCCTTTCTGAGTTTGGGGGACGGCCAGGCTCCCCTCGGCTTCTCCAGCTTTTCTCAGGGCGACAGGGGGGGCTCACGGTCTCCCCTACCCTCTTCTCCAACCTGTGGGCTGGGCTTGCAGAGCGTGGGCTTCGGCTGCCTCTCTCCAGTAGCCAGCCAGGGCTGGCAGGGCACGGGGAGTCCCCTCGCTTCCTGCTGGCCTTCTCAGAGTGCCGAGCTGGGCTGGGGGAACGCAGGGGCTCCTTGGGGTCTCTGTTGCGCTGCTCGAAGTGCCAGGAGACTCGCTGACTCTAAGGTCGTTAAGGGGAGAGAGAGCAGAGAGTCCTCTTAAAAAAAACCAAACACACTAGTTAGCAGAACAAGACAGGATTAGGGCTGGGAGGTGGTTTGGTCAAATGGTTGCCCAGAGAGCAATTGCATCCCTATGCATGGAGCCAGCTCATACTGAAAAGAAGCCTCTTGCACCCAAAGGGTGAAAGGGCTCCTGCGATTTAAAAGCCAAGGGTCCCAGTCTATGACAAAGGAAGGGCTGGGATTAGAGTGAAGGGGGGAGCAGGGGAATAAAAGAGAAAAGCATGTGGCAGAAAGAGAGGAAAATGCGGCTGGAGAAAGCAACCCAGCTTGGAGAGCTGGGATGAAGTCCTGCCGAGCCTCACCTCCCTGGGCAGGCTGGGGCTGGACTGCCTCCGAACTAGGTGGCCTTTGCTGGGTGGCACTGGTGTCTTGCCATCGAGCCGGTCCACACGGCCCTCCTCCAGAGCTTGGAAAGCCTCCAGCGTCTCTGATTTCCTGTGGACACACACAGTTTGTCCAACTGTCACCATGCTCAGCTTGGAGGCAGAGCCCCTGCAGATCCTGCTCCACCTTAGCCTGACCCCACAGACCTCCACCTGTCTCAGACACTGTGTGCCATGACCTCTCGCTGTCCCCATTGCTTCAACCACCTCAGCTTTTGTATTCTGCTGCCTCACGCATGTTTTCTTCACACCATTCCTCAGGCTTCCCTCCATCTGGTCCTTTGCATCCCACCCGTCCAGGACACTTGCCCAGTCCCTGTTTACGTCCCCTCCTGCCCCATGCCACCAACACTGGAGCTGCTCTTGCTTCTCCAGCCAAGACCTAACCAGCTACTACGTACTTCTTGGTATACCTCATCCTTTCCTGAGCAGCATCTACAGTGGAGCCACTGATGGAACAGTGGGGCTGGGGAACACTGCTTTCCTTCCCTCTTCCCATGAGGAGCCCTGCTTCGCAGCACATCCTCCAGCTTCCAGAAGGTGACCGTGAGGATGAGGAAGGTGGACAGGTCCCTTCCATCAGTGCAGCTTTCGCTCCACCTTTCCAATGCCTGCCACAACAGGTGAGCTCCGCAGGTTGGATGGAGCTGAGCCTAAACCCAATCCTTACTTTAAGGGAAATGTAAGCACAGCTGAAAGCTGAGCTTTGCCATCTAGCCCTGCTCTCCCCATGAGGCATGGTGATTAGGAGGTGGGGGCCCCATGCGAGCATAGAGGGGCAATCCCCCACCTCTGACCACTGTGGGTCCCGTTGCTTCTCACCTGCGTTCGCAGCCAAATATCCTCTCCACCTCCACTCGGCCAGGGCTGAGTGTCCGGGAACTGTAGCGGTCAACAGCATCCCGCTGTGCGAGGCGCTTGGGCTTGGGCAGGTCTGCCAGCACTGTGTACTCCTGCCTCTCCAGCCCGTGCCGCCCCTCTGTGCCCCCACTGCTGGGGTGCCCACGGGACTCCCGTACCCGAGACCCAGCGAGGTGCCCACTGCCACCCAAGGGGTTGCTGCGGGCTGATGCGGAGCCTGCTGGGGCATGCGGCAGGGTAGATGCCCAGGGAGGGTCAGTTTTCCGGTGTTTCGGCCAGATTTCCTCGGGTTTCTGGCTGGCGGGACGGTGCTCTGGGACGGGGAGAAGGCCGTTACTGGGGGAGGCACGAGCGACACGGGATGCCACCACGTCCACGGCAAAGCAGGTCTTCGGAGGAGAGCTAGAAATGGTCCAGGAGGGGAGAGATAAAACCCAGACTCCCTCCAGGCAGGGTGGGAGTGCCGGGACACAGCACTGCAAGCCAAGGGCATGCCAAACCATGCAAACAGAGAACACCTGAGATATCCAGGGTTTGTGGTCAGCACACACAGAGATGGACTCTCACATGGTGCCCATGGAGGTGTCAAACACCTTCTGCGACCACAACTGGATAAAGAGATGCTAAATCTCAATAGAGATCTGCTGTGAACTTCAGAGACCCCTGGGTAGAAAGCGAACCAGAACTAGAATCTCACATGGGAACAAGCAAGAGTACCTGCTTTCAGTGGGCAGATTTCTTTCCTAGAGCCCTGGGCTTCAGTTCTTACCCAGGATCCAGAGCGAACGGGCTGAGCCCACCTGGCTCTGTCTGCCTGAGGGGCTCGTGACTGCACCTCCTCCTTATGGCCCATGCAGCTCATCATGTCCCGTTTGCCTGATCCCAAAGTGTTGTCCCACAACCGGGTCATTTCCCCTTCCTGGGAGACAAAATAGGGCAGATATCTGCAAGGGGGACCAGTAGCTTTTATGGGCTGGGAGGATGTACGAGAAGTTACAACCTGTTCAACCCAAAGCTGCCAGTAAAAAGGAACCAGAAAAGGAGCTGTGTGAGTGTAAGATGACCCCAGACCAACAATGACAAGAAACAGCATAGGGAAGTCCACATGGGGGAATCCAAGAGTGAATCTAATGTGCTCTTTAGGGGGAGAGCCTCCTTTGTGGGGACTAAGAGTCTCGGCTGATCCCCCCTTGCATCTCAGGACCTTAGAATCATAGAATGTCACAAGTTGTAAGGGACCCATCAGGACCATCAAATCCAACTCCCTGCACATGATGGGCTCCTATTTCTTTCTGCAGGAGAGCCAGAGGGGTGAATTCAACCTGTCTGCGTGCGCAGAAACCCTCTGAATGTGCCCAGCAGAAGTGGCATTGAAGGGCCAAAGGGACTAGGGGGACCAGAATAACCCAAACCACAAGAGATCCCCATCTCACCCTGGCAAGCGTGGAGTTGGCTTCAGCACAGGTGCTAGGGTCGGTGCCAGTTTCTCTGTGCTCACCCTCAGCTCCGGGGCTGAGTGGGGGATATCGCCTGCTCTCGTGCCAGCTGTGGGGCAGGGAGAGAGGACAGCTGGTGGTCAGCAGAGCCCGCAGAGCTCAGGGGCAGGTGGCAGCACTGGCAGCCCAAGCCACACTGGCTCACTCTACTGGATAGGCAGAGGCTGGCAGAGCCCATCCTGGGACCACCGGCCTTGCTCTGGAGGGAGTGAAGAAGGAGGGCACTCTTTCAGGGGGCCCCCTGCCCTCTCCTGGGACAGCCAAGAGGAACGGTTAGAGGACATGATGTGGGGATTTCTCAGTCCTTTTTCCCAGGCAGGGTGCAGAGCATCAGGGAGAAGGTGTCCGATTTCCCCCTGCTTGGCTTCCCACTCCCCCTCCTCCATTCTTCCCATCGAAGGGGCTGGTTGGAGCAGCATGGCTCCCAGCTGGTACTCACCGCTCTGTCCCCTCCACTGGGCCCACGCACACGTACACCTCGCACTGTGGGGCTAAAATATGGAGGGCGTCCCAGGGCTCTCCTGGATCTGGGTTGCTGCAGGCATCACGCCCTGTGACCTCCACAGCATGCTCCTGTGAGGAAGAAGGGGGGCAGTGGTGCTGTCAGCGTGTCAAGGATGAGGATGAAGGCTGCCCTTTGGAAATGCCTGCTTCTTCTACCTCCTCTGAGAGCAGCCTGGCTTCCAGGGCTCTTGATATCTCATCCAGCGCACCGTTGAGATTTTTCCAGGAGGCCAGAGAGGCCCAGCACGCTCCTATTTGATGCTGAATACTGCAGACATCCCAGAGACTGCATGTGTGGATGAGGGCTCAGGGAAACTGTCCCCCCACGTTGACGTTGATGCTGCTGGCAGCTGCTCTCTCTTGCCACCAGGGTAGCTCAGGAAGAGGCAACGGAACCAAGAGGAAGGAAAATTTTTGCAGAAAAGGCTGTAGTCCCAGCCTCTGCCTCTGTCAGGGCTTGCAGGCGTCTCAGCATCCTCCCTGGCCCCTTTATTTGCAGGGCTTATGAGCAGCAGTGGGGGAGGCTCTGGGGAGTCAGCTGTCTGCACTGCCTTCCCTCCAGCATCTCGCCTGCACTGGGATTCACTCAGAGGTGACAGCTCTGAGCAGATAGCGGGTGAAGGGCTGAGGTAACCTTAGAGGGCCCAGGGCCAGGACAAGAGAGGGAGAGGGCGAGAAAGAGAGAGGGAGGCTCATTACTATTTCATCATCCCTGGCCAGTCGCTCCTGGAGGACGGCAAACAACACGAAACCCTTTGTGAACATGAAACCAGCTGTCACCCAGTCGGAGACAGCCAAGTAGCTTGTGCGTCTAGCCCCATCTCAAAGGACCATGTTGGATTAAGGTATCTGGAGCCCAAGGTCCCACGAGATTCACCCCTCTCGTGCCTTCCCTGCCTGGAACAGCTCACTGCAGCTGCCCCAGGCCAGGACTCAGCCCTGGCCCTAAGCCAACAGCAGAGGCCACAGGGAAATCGACCAGGACCATATTTAAGGTGAGGAAA